AAAGACGAATTTCCCAACCCCCAAAAGTCTGTACCCCATATTGAGTCAACCCCACAACTTCCCATAGTCACCACAACCAAATATCAAAAGCATACGAACTCCAACGTTCGTAACTTTCTTGTTCGTGCTCCGATTGAAGCGATACTTGGTTCCTCTGAAAGCTCTTGAGCAGAGGAGTCACTTCAGATATCTGCTCAAGCCAAATAACATTCACACACACACTCAGAAAAACCAAACCGCACAAAACACAAATTCTTGCACACACTCACAACACGCATGCAACGCACGAACATATGATGGGAGGCAGACAGACGTGAATGCGAATGGTAGCATCACTCAACACATCTGGCCACGCCAGGAGCAGCAGTAGCAGTGGAAAGAGCAGTAGCAGCAAGAGCAGCAGTAACAGCAGTACGGGCAGGGCAGTGCTCACCAGTGGCGAGAAGGGCAGGCGTACGACGGCGGCAACGGCGAGGCCGCTACCACTGTAGGGCGAGAGCTCCGCGGCAGCTGCAGAGGTGGCTGCTCCAGGGGCGGCAGTTGTAGGGGCGGCTGCTCCAGGGGCGGCTGCTCCAGGGGCGGCTGCTGCAGGGGCGGGTGCTCCAGGGGCGGCTGCTGCAGGGGTGGCTGCTCCAGGGGCGGCTGCTGCAGGGGCGGCTGCTGTAGTGGCGGCTGCTCCAGGGGCGGCTGCTGCAGTGGCGGCTGCTCCAGGGGCGGCTCGGCTGCTGGGCGACTCGGCTGCTGGGTGGCTCGGCGGCTCGGCGGCTCGGCGGCTCGGCCGCTCGCTAGGGGCGGCGACGGGGCCGCTAGGGGCGGCGACCGGGCCGCGTAGGGAGGGGAGCGGCGACGGGGCCGCTAGGGGCGGCGACGGGGCCGCGTAGGGGCGGCGACGAGGCCGCGTAGGGGCGGCGACGGGGCCGCGTAGGGAGGGAGGCGGCGACGGGGCCGCTAGGGGCGGCGACGGGGCCGCGTAGGGGCGGCGACAGGGCCGCGTAGGGAGGGAGGAGGCAACGGGGCCACTAGGGGCGGCGACGGGGCCGCTAGGGGCGGCGACAGGGCCGCGTAGGGGCGGCGACGGGGCCGCGTAGGGAGGGGAGCGGCGACGGGGCCGCTAGGGGCGGCGACGGGGCCGCGTAGGGGCGGCGACGGGGCCGCGTAGGGGCGGCGACGGGGCCGCGTAGGGAGGGGAGCGGCGACGGGGCCGCGTAGGGGCGGCGACGGTGCCGCGTAGGGGCGGCGACGGGGCCGCGTAGGGAGGGGAGCGGCGACGGGGCCGCTAGGGGCGGCGACGGGGCCGCTAGGGGCGGCGACGGGGCCGCGTAGGGGCGGCGACGGGGCTGCTAGGGGCGGCGACGGGGCCGCGTAGGGGCGGCGACGGGGCCGCGTAGGGAGAGAGGCGGCGACGGGGCCGCTAGGGGCGGCGACGGGGCCGCTAGGGGCGGCGACGGGGCCGCGTAGGGGCGGCGACGGGGCCGCTAGGGGCCGCGAGGGGCCTGGAAGGGCGGTGACGGGGCCGCTAGGGGCGGCGACGGGGCCGCTAAGGGTGGCGCGAGGGGCCGTGAGAGGGGCCTCTAAGAGAGCTCGACAGAAGGGCGGCCCACAAGGCGCGCCTCGGGCAGGAGCGACTGGCGCTCCGGTCAGAAAAAAAAAGTTTCAGTGGTGGGCCCAAGGAAGCGTTCCCACTAGGGAACCTGCTCTATACCATGTGAAGAAATGAGGAATGAAGCTTGCCGGTCACCCCTCTGCTCGGGGGTCTCTGGGACTGGTATCGGAATAGGTATTGTGAACGCAAAATGGCTGCGCGGGAGAGAACTGCTCTACTCACGGAAGCTGCAGAGGAGCGGATGGTGTTGAAGGAGACCCGAGCGGAGGGGTACGAGCTATTGGGCGGGGATCTTGAGGAAGGAACCATCCAGACCAGGGACACCGACGATCCCAAGGAATGGAGGTCCTTCAACGTCAACATCAACAGCGAAGTGAGGAAATGCGACTGCTCAAACTGGGACCAGTACCAGTTTCCTTGCTCCCATGCCGTCGCCTTTGCTCTGAAGCGAAAGCTAGACCTTCGCACCCTCGTCTCTGACTTCTACACCACGAAGAACTGGGTGGAGACGTATTCTTCAACGGTAAAGGGTTCCTGTGTGGACCGCATCGTCCTTGGGAGGAAGCTGGCCGCACCAGGCGAGTGCGATGCTCCACCCTTTCGACGCACGACTGCCGGCCGCCCGCCGAGCTACGCACGCGTCGAGAAGGCTGTGCATCCGTACAAGTGCAGCATCTGCCATCTCCATGGTCACACTAAGAACCGCTGCATGGGCAAGTATGGTGGCAGCGCATACCCGGAGAAGAGGAGGTACAGTAAGCGCCCCAAGGCCCGTAAGTCCTATCGCGAGTCGGCACCTTTTGCGGGCACCATTTGAGATTTGTGAGGAGTCAATAAGCTAGAGTAGTTTCGACATGGGTTAGTGTAGATGCTGTAGTGGGGGGTGTAGGAACACGTTGTCCATGTCCGGAGTCTTAGTATTAGTTTAGAGTTGCGGCACCAATACAGCATGTCATAGCCTTATTAATAAAATGAGTAATATCCACGAGCTTGGAGGTAGACCATCAGGCGCCCGTCAACCGACCGTGAAATCCACGCGAGGGTTTGCCAACTACCTAATTGTTTATGGGAATCCACAAATATCTATGCTCCTGGTGGCCGTCACAAAATTGTCACAATACCGTGAGCAAACAGTCAGGACATTGTCAAACCTTTCGTGCTTGCCTTGTCACATCGATGCCCCCGATGATAGATTTGCGGGGGGGTTGTGACGCGCTAGTGAAATCTCCGTGAATTGATCTGGCTAACACACCGTCATCTCACTGCCACATCTTTCTCCCGAATTGTACAGCAGTTCATCAGGCTCTCGCGATTAGACCGTCGACACTCCGCAATATGATGGATGAGTTCGATTATTGGTGCCACGTAACGCCGCCAGGTGAGTTGGCGATGTCTCGAGTTGTTGTGTCACAGTAAAGGGCTCGTGAAAAGCGGCGTGGAAGGCTCGTGAAGTGCTCGTGATAGCAAAACGGGTGGCCAGTTCGGGGTGCTTGTGACAACCCCACCACAATTCGTGAACCCCCAGCCATGGCATGCTATTGGCTAGCACAGCCAGTAGTCAACCACCCGTGTGCTCGTCGGTATATCGCGAATACCTCGTGCTGCCTAGATTGAATACGCACGCGCTGGCGATTAACCGAGAGTGGAAAGGTAGTACATAGTAAATGAAACAATACCCAGTGTCTCGTGAATATTTGGTGGACTCAAAAGGATACAAAACTCTAAGCAAAAACGTTTGTACACTATAACAACTGTATAACACTTTCATCATGTGCACCTATTCCTTGCTGTTCGTTACCAACATGCGCTATCACACTTTGTTTCACCCAATCACTGGAACATATCAACGGGGCTAGATATGTGTGTGATGTGGAAATCCAATGAAACCCTCCATATGCCACACACTCACGCACCACAAGGCAAAAACAGTACGGCCGTCGGACAAGGAAAGCCAGCACAGCAATAAAACCAAACACAAAACCTCCCGTGTAAACCCGTCGGCTACTCCTGGGTCTGTCTCCTTCGCTTGGACTTACGCCGGCACGGCGGCTGAGACGAGGATTGCGGATCTACCGACACCGTACCATCCGCCCTCCCTATCTCCATCAAACTCCGGCATTCCGGCCAGGCCTCCCTCCAGTTCTCCCACCGGTGCCAGAACTTGTTCCGGATCATAGCCAGGCATACGTCCTTAGGACAGTCCTTCAACCTGTCCTTATCTTCAACAGACAGACCTATCACTCTCCCACGAGGTCCATTGTGCGGCCCAAACAGCACATGTGATCCAGCAGCAAGTGATCTCGCGGCTTCCTCCTCATCTCCGAACTGGCTGCCAATAACGGTGTGCCCGTCTTTCTTCCGTTCGCAGACTAGTCTAGCAACCCATCGCCCATTCCAGGGCCGTTGGGTAATACCCACGAATCTCCCCTTGATTTCCTTGGGCTTCTTTCGTGAAGACTGCCTCGCATGCTTCTGCCGTGACGGAGAGCCGCCTCCGATGACCTCAGGCTGGTCTTCCACGACCATGGGCGAATCAGGCGAGCGTGCAGAACCGCCCGGCGACTGTAGCGCTGACACCGCCGTGGCCATGGTGTCGCATATGTCATGCGTCTTCACGATCAACTGCTTCATGGTTTCCATGCCGCCTTCCACCTCGGCTAGGAGATTCGCTTGACTGCGTAATTCAGTGGCCATGTTTCTCATCGTCGATATGCTGTCCAAGATGGGCTGCAGCGTGTGGATGGGCTCATTTCCCGGTGCCGGTCTGTAAAGTGGCGGAAGTGTCACCATTTTGTTGTGCAACTTCGCGGCCACCGTTTGCTCTCCAGCATCACACATCAAGGCCCTGAGGGCGTGCCGATAGATCACAATGCTGTACGAGGGTGATGGGATGCCCAGCTCTAAGTTCCTGAATGACCGGGCGACAAGCTCGCACACGAACAAGCACACGAAGACGCCTGAGTCAACGCCGTCGTCCTGTTGAGGTACTTGGCTGGCCTGCACATGTAAACAAAACACTCGGTGTCAACATATAGATGGGTGGTCAAACTGGGATATCCATCGAGTGTCCCACGGGCACTCATTTGCAACATGTCGGTTCACTTACAAGCAGTGCCCGGCAGCGGATGCGACGGAGACGATTGGTCACCTCGGACGCACTGAGCCCCGGCCTCGCCTGTACCAGCGCCGCTCCCAAAAGCCTGCAGACGCGTGAACCGGGGTTATACGGTGACTCATAGTCTTTGGAGTCCCAGCAACTGTGCAAATGACATACAACGCGTTATGGCGGGGTCACCAGATCTCACCAGTTGATGGTTCGGAAGACAAAGCTTGAACTGGCGACGTGAAACCGTGTCGAATCGAAGAGCGCAACCTGAGGACCCTCTGCGCCCAGCACTCAAAGCTCTTCATCCGACTTCAACAGCAACCCAGGGTCCTTCACAACGACCAGGCTTGCGTGTTTGGGCCCAGGGTCCCTGTGACACCTGGTCAAGCCAATGAAACATGAGAATACATGCACATTGTAATGATCCCGCACTGCTAAACCACGCCAACTTACTTGGTTAATGCCACTATGCATACGTAGTCGAATTTGAACAGGGAATCGCTATCAATGTCGCAACATAGATGCTCGTTAACTGCCGACTGGTACGCTGAGGATGCCAGCGCAACCCACGTCCTCCCCGTAGGTAGTTGCGGGTGCAAGACACTCAGAACGCTGCACAAAGTAGAATAGATACATTAGCACCGCACGGTTAGGGTTAATGACGACGTATGGAAGCTGCTAGAGTACTCACACGTTGTGGAAATCAATGGTTGTCGCCGGAATCTCAAAACCGCCTCGAATGCCAAGAGCATCAACCATCTGCACTTTAGCGCTCTGCCCAATCTGATTCGTGATCGCTGGCGTTGGAAAGTGCTCGCTTGTCAACGTGGGCTGAAGTACACCGCTACCCTCCGACGGCCCTGACACGGATTTCGCTAAAAGGGACACTATGTTGTCGGGTACGGGGGGCCTCTCCTCCACGTCAACTGTTACGGGGACCTCAAACTTAAGTACACGCGAGGACGACTTATTGGACGGGACTCCATCACTCCTCGCCCCACTCAATCGCCCACTTTTCCCAGACGCCATACCAGGGCTTACTAGGGAGATGACCTTGACAAAAGCAACCACTACAGGCTTATGTACTGGCGCTTTGCCTTTCAATTTAACTAGTGGGGGTGTTGACGTGAGAGGTGAAAGAGTCGCGTGTCTCTGGTTGGACTGGGTGACGGGACGTCCACCACCTGCTTGTGATGTGACAGCGACAACATCTGGCACAGCCAATGAGAAGCGCGATCTAGTTGTCATCTCCCTCACGCGGGATTGACTAGGGGCTTCACGCGGACATTGAGTTACCGTGAATCTGTACCAGACGCTGTACGCGTTAATGTTGTGTATTCGAGTTCTGTTTAAAATACGTATGGTGTGCTCACGTAAAGCAAACAAAAGTAATCACGAGTTGTGAACGTTATGGATGAGAAAACTGAAACGAGAATGAAATGACTAAGGAAAGGTTGGGTACAAAATACAAACCCTAGAGAACTGTACCCCATATGTGCTACCCCACTATAGCCTACAGTAACTATGTCATATAAGTCTGACACACCCCCATAGGCAAAGTGGGGGAGAACAAGGGGTCACAAGACCAGTCAAACAAAGCAAAGCAAGCTCAGGGTGGATCACAAAGTCACCACACATTCCGAGCACAAGTTCAAGGCCACAAGGCCAGTTCACATGCAGGATTACATATATGTATAAGGCTAGACAAGCAAGAGCAGGTGTATATATATATGCAACAGTACAACAAGGTCAAGGGGTGAGCAAGTGAGGCAAGGTAGGCACAAGACCCAGCTGAGTACAGAAGCGCTGATGATCACAAGGCGCAAGTGCCTTGGTGAAGATATCAGCAGTGTTGGCCTGAGAGGCCACGTACGCAAGCCGCAGCTGACCACGCTGCTGTAGCTCACGAGCAAGGAAGTAGCGGAGAGCAATGTGCTTCGTTCTGTGCTCCAGTCTCTGCTCTCGACACAAGGCCAGCATGGCCTTGTTGTCTACGTACAGCACTGGAGGAGAACGAGGCGGCTCTCCGAGGTCAGTCAGCAGGTAGGTGAGCCAGCGAAGCTCCTGTGCAGCCATGGCCCCGGCGTAGATCTCAGCCTCACAACTGGAGCCGAGAACAGAAGACGAGCGGGTAGCCCGCCACGAAACAGAGCCGGAACCAAGGCTGAAGGTGTAACCCTGTGACGACCGCTGCGTAGCCTGGTCGTCAGCCCAAGAAGCGTCTGCGTGCCCAGTGAGGACCACTGGACTCTGCCCTCCAAGCACAAGCCCCATGCCCGACGTACTGCACAAGTAGCGCAACACCCTCTTCGCTGCAGCCATGTGCTCCGGTCTGTGTCTCCCAGGAGCAACATAGCGTGCAAGAATGCTAAGAGGGTATGCAAGGTCAGGTCGTGTGCAGGTCATCAGGTACATGAGGCAGCCAACAAGCTCTGGGTACGGGCCACTCGACTCTACGGACTCATCCGAAGGCAGAGCTGAGAGCGAGTGGCGAGTAGGCAGAGGAGTGGCCTGAGGCGAGGAGTACGTGAAGCCGAAGCGCTGAAGGACCTGCTGCACCATGTGTGACTGAGTCAGGGTAATGGTGCGGCGTGCTCTGTCCCGAGTAATCTGCAAGCCAAGGTAGCTGCGCAGTTCACCCAGGTCTGTGCACGTGTGTCTCTTCTGCAGCTCGGACTTCACGTGGGCGAGTCCAGCAGTGTCAGCTGTGGCGAAGACCAAGTCGTCGACGTACACGAGGATGTAGAACTGCGGCAAAGAAGTGTCGGTGCGCAGAAACAGCGACGGGTCGGCAGTAGAGGGAGCAAACCCAAGAGCCGCAAGTGTAGTCCTCAGTGTGTCGTGCCACTCACGCGGTGCCTGGCGGAGACCGTAGACTGGCCGTCGGAGGCTCCACTGGGTGCCAGGAGGAAAAGACCCAGTGAAGCCAGGTGGGCGACGCAGCCAGATCTCCTCGTGCAGGCTGCCCTGCAAGAAAGCAGTGCTGAAGTCAAGAGAGTGCAGCTCGTAGTCGCGGTGAGCAGCTATGTGCAGCAGTACCCGAAGAGTGGTCATCTTCGGGGTGGGAGAGAAGGTCTGAAAGTAGTCAACTCCCTGCCGCTGACTGAAGCCACGAGCCACGTAACGCGCCTTGAAGACAGGCGGAGAACCCGGCGGTCGCTTCACCCTGAAAATCCACATGCCACTGACGATGTTCGCCCCAGGCGGGGGAACCTCGTCAACGTAGGTGCCTGTGGACTTCCAGGAAGCCATCTCTGCGTCCATAGCTGCCTGCCACTGAGAGGAGTAGGGACCCTCTATCGCCTCCGCGTAAGAGCGCGGAGTCGGGATGTCAAGTGCATCCGGGTCTCCCTCAGGGGTAAGCAGTACGGACACGAGATGAGGTGAAGCAGCAGCCAAGCACTGGAACTCCTCCTGCCTGTCCTCAAGGACGTCCGTGCCAAGGGCACACTCACCCCCGACGGACGGAGGACAGACAGACTCAGACTCAGCAACAAGACTAGCAGCGTAGTCGAGACGACAGCGAGCAGCAAAGTCGACGAGCTCAGTAACTAGAGCAGACGCAGCAGTGGACTCAAAGGAAGGGTCAGTGACAACAGTAGCAAGGAGACCCGTGACAGTAGGACTGGCAGCACGAAGAGAGTCCGACTCCGGGTCAGGAAGAGCAGGAAGAGAGGACTCAGGAGGAGAAGGCAAAGGGGCACGCAGAGGAGCAGTAGACGGACGCAGAGACATCCGGTGCGTGCCAGGGACAGGAGGAGGACGCTGACGCGAACCACGACCACTAGTGCGAGCAGCACGGACAGGCGACGCAGGGCGAGACGCAGGCTCACGACGCTCAGCAAGACCTCCAGTAGGACCAGTGTAGGGAGAAGGAGCGGGCAGTGGGGAGGCCGGCTGTAACTGTAACAGAGACAGGGCAGGCTGTGGACACTCTAAGGGAGGAGGAGGACCAGTAGAAGGCGGGAGACCAAGAACCTGCTGAAGGAGCGGAACGAAGTACGGCCGAGGCCGCGCGGCGACTCCAGACACAGCAGGGACAGCACCAGTACCCCCAGAGGCAGCACCAGCGCCAGCAGCACCTCCAGCTCCAGTACCTCCAGCAGCACCAGTAGCACCCCCAGCAGGACCGCCTCCAGGACCAACAGCAGTAGCCTCAGCGCCAACACCCTCAGCAGCTCCAGCTCCAGTCGTACCCGCAGGCCCAGCAGCTCCAGTACTCCCAGTACGAGCACCTCAGGGACCCGCGGCACCAGCACCCTCAGCAGCCGAAGAACCTCCAGCTCCAGCAGCACGCCTCCAGCGCCGGGCAAACCACTCGCGTAGCTCTTGTGGAGAGAGTGGCTCCCGCCGAGACGAAGCACCCGGAGAAACTCCAGGCTCAGCACCGCCAGACGCCACACGAGCAGGCCCAGCTCCCTCAGGCTCCGCACCCCCAGGCTCAGCACCTCCAGGCGTAGCACCCCAAGGCTCAGCACCCCCAGGCGTAGCACCCCCAGGCTCAGCACCCCCAGGCTCAGCACCCCCAGGCGTAGCACCCCCAGGCTCAGCACCCCCAGGCTCAGCACCCCCAGTAGTAGCACCCCCAGGCTCAGCACCCCCAGGCTCAGCACCCACACGCGTAGCACCCCCAGAGTCAGCACCCCCAGGCTCAGCACCCTCAGCAGCACCAGAGTCACCAGTAACCTCGACAGGCTCGACTGCGTCTACCTGGGACACACCTGAAGGGGCAGGACCCTGAGGGGGGAGGGGGTCTACCGGGGGGGGACCTGGCACAAGGAAGAGCGGTGGCGGGGGGAGGGACGGAGTGCGGTAGGGGAAGAGGCGGTAGTAGGGGACCGACTCGTCAAACGTGACGTCCTGGGAGGACAGAACACGGCGAGAGGTAGGGTGGTAGAACTGCCACCCTGGCGCGTCAGGGGGGAAGCCAAGGAAGACGCAAGGAGCAGCACGAGGGGACAGCTTGTCCGCAGACAAGTCGCGGACAAACGCCCGAGATCCCCAGACACGGAACGCAGACGCATCGCCAACCTTCCCCGTCCACAGCAAAGCTGGGGAGGTCTCCGGCATGGAGACCCTGGGGTGAAGGTTGATCTGATGCGCCGCGTACCGAACCGCAAACGGCCACAGAAAATGGGGGGCAGCCGCATGCATCATGGACGTACGGGCGACGTCCATGACCATGCCAATGCGGCGCTCAGCAATCCCATTTTGCTGCGGAGAGTCCGGAAGCGTGAAGGTCTGGCGGATGCCTCGTGCTCGACAGTAGGCTCGCAGAAGGCCAGAGGAGAACTCTCCACCTCTGTCAGAGTGCAGACGCAGAACAGGAAAGGCCGAGCCGAAGCTCTGCCTGAGCTGGAGACGAGCTGCGCGGATCCAGTCGATCAACACCTGAGTGACATCACCCTTGCTGCGCAAGGGGAAGACCGTGGTGTAACGCGAGTAGTCGTCAACCACCAGCAGGAAGTAGCGCTCGTGACCCTGTCCACGGACGCGGGCCGGGCCCCACACGTCCATGTGAAGCGTCTGCAGCGGGGCCTCTGTCGGAGGAAACTGGGAGGAGTGAGGGGCAGCCCGCTGCCGCCCCTCGACACAGGGGACGCAGGTAGGGCCAGGCCCCGGAGGAAGGGGAGGGAGGGACCGGGGAAGACCAGAGACAAGGACACGAGAGGCCATGCCTCGAAGACGAAGCAGGGAGGGGTGACCAAGGCGGTGGTGCCAGAGGAGAGTCTCGTGAGACAGGAGGCGACACGAACAGG